GAACCGGGACCCTCTGGCATCCCAAGCCAGCTCTTAACCACACGCCATTCGGCCGGCCCCATTTTTTTCTTTTGAATTAAAGTATAACTTTTGTAGTGTGCATAAACCTCAAGTGTATACCTCAATGGATGGATTTTTACATATGTGGACACCCACCATCAAGGATGGAACATTCCCAACCCCACAGAATGCCCCTTTGTGCCCCTCCCAGTCAGTACTTGTTTATTAATCTGCTATCTATGGTAAATTTTAAAGATTAAATAAAAGACTAAAAGGAATGGCAAGCTTTACGAGGTGCTCCTTAGAGCTCCAGACTCAAGAGCACTTTTTCTCTGGCCCCATAGTTCCTTAACTAGAAAATGTGCTCAGCCTAGGATTCTGAGACCTAGTGGGCATTATTCAAACATAGTTTCTTCTGCTGTATTGGGCTTTCTCTGGTAGGTGCTTTTTACCTCTTCAATAACTCCTTGGGTTGATATTTTAAAATATTTGTGATAAGAGGTTAGTTAATATATAAAGAACTTAGAACCATGCACACAGTAGCTGGACACATAGTAAGTCCAAGATAAATAATACGTATTATTATGAGTTGCAGAAGAGACAAAAGAAGGCTTTGCATGATCATTATAATGATTCTTACAGCAAGATGAACATAGAAGCTAAATTTGAAAATAAGGGAGGAGAATATTTATAGTTGTGTTGATTTAAAAAGCGTAGTTATCTATCAAATTTGCCTTTAAATAAAAGATTACAACCTCTCAGAGCTCGTTGACTCCCTTGCACCTAAAGAAATTTATTAAGTCCCTTTTCTTCTTCTGTCATGCATTTATTTATTGAATGCTTATTATATTCTAGGCAAGGTTCTAAGCTCCTAGGTATCTCATGAAAATAAAAATTCCCTGCCCACGTGTAGCTTGCTATCTAGCGGCACTGAAGCTGGAGGCCAACCGAGTCCAGGGTTCGTGCTACCTGAGCCATTCAGCCAATAGACCGACACAGGAGCTGGGTCAAAGAATAAGCATTTCTTCTCACAGAGCACCGGTGTCTGAGAAGGTAGCGTGTTAACACCTCCAAAAACTGCTTTAACATTCTCAGACGCTTGGGGTATTTAAGGGAAAAATCTAGGTGTTCCCTCAGAGCTTGGGGGCACACGGGGGGAGGGAGGGAGGCTGCAGGGAACCTTCCCTCTGGCAATGTGATTCTATGGTGGAGTCAGCAACCCAGGAACAATGATGGGAGTAGCCTAGTAGTGTGATCTATAAGCCTAAGGGTGTTAATCACAAGTTTCAGGATAATTTTCTAAAATAGGGAACTGGGTGGGACAGGGGACATTCCGAACTCAAGCCAAAGGAGGATGTTGTATTGTTACGTCAAGAAAAGGTGAGGCCGGGGACCTGGAAAGGTCTCTACTATGTGGGTGCCAACCAGGCCCTGCTTCAATATCCCCTCTGTTAACACAGGACCCAGAGATTTTCCCATTACAAAGAAATTTTATCTTTGTCTTACATCCGTGATTTCTTTCCACTTCCCTTGTGTCCTAAAGTTGAGCAAGTCAAGAAAGGAGGAAGCTAAAGCCAACCTTTGCCTCAATTCTGAGACCAGTGGGGTAAAATGTGAAAGTGAAAAAAATAGAAAGGAAAAGGCACAGAGGTGGAACGTGTTTAATTCCTAAAGCCTATTCCCCTTCCATAAATCACACAGAGGATCAAGGTGCTAATGGGAATGTTGAAACAAACAGATCTAATGCAAAGAACTCCTGCTTTGGTTTTTTTGTTTTACCTTCTCCCAGGATTTAAAAATAACTGAGCCATGTAGCTATAATTTTAGGTTTATTAATTACACCAATAACGTCGCTTCCAAGCTGGGTTGTCTGATGGTTCTCTTAGAAATGCTAAGTTGCTCGGGCAATGGTTTGACGAGGGTCTATATCTTATTGATTTACCTCCGTAACTCACAAACTTTTCAATACCAAGTCCCCTCTTAGAAAAATAATACACGCAGTTTCTGATATCCACCCAGGGCCATGTGTTTTGAAAGATCTTGTCTTCAAAGCCAAGATAATTATTTAAATGTCTCCCCATTTAAAAATTAATCAGCCAATTAGAGATTCTAATTGGCACCTAAAAAACTACCAAATCTTGCCGAAAGCAAAGACATATAGTGTTTTGGACAGTTTTAGCGCCCCCTACTATTTTCATTTTCATTGCTGACTTTTTGATACTATAATTATTATACGATATCTTCTATCCTTCCCTTTTGTTTTTTTGGTTCTTGGTGAAAAGCGAGGATATGGTATAGGAGCAGAATCAAAGGAGATAATATTCTGCAGAACATGCATTTCACGCCACTTTCAGGTAATCCCTACAGACCCGAAGGCGCTTTTCCGCTCCCAGCCCTCGTCTAAAGTAGCTCGGATTTGGCCCCGCCCCTCCACTCCTGTCCGCGGGAGCTCTCCTGCGAGGGAGGGACCTTCGCTGCTACCCCACTGTCAGCCACAGGGAGGTGACTGCAGCCGCCGGAGCCAAAACGCCTTCTCCAACAGCGGAGGCGGCGGAAGCGGAAAAGGCGGGACCTAAGGCGCACGTTACGTCAGCACGTGCGAGCGTAAGCGCTAAGGAGGTGCGTGTTTGCGGCTAGGGAGCTCTCTCTCGGTTGGGGTCTGCAGTTTTGACCTCATGGCGGAGATAATTCAGGAACGCATAGAAGACCGACTTCCCGAGTTGGAACAGCTGGAGCGCATTGGACTGTTCAGTCATGCGGAGATTAAGTGAGATTGCAGAGGAAGAGCGGGGGCGGGCCGAGGGGAGCTGCGGCGTGTGTGCCGCTCGGGCAGGGATCCGGAGCCCATAAGTTGTGTTTATTTTTTCTAACATGGCGGAAGCCCAGTTCCAGATTTTGATGATGTCCTCATTTAATTTCTCATTTATTGCAAGGTGGTCCGTCCATGTAGTCACCAAAAATACCTGACAGCTCTTCGAGGAGCCAGGTTTTGGGGCAATAAAGATGATAAAACCGGGATCCCTGCCCATCAAGAACTAACTGCCCTGTGCATGATGGGAGAGGCAGACTAAACATTTTGATTACAGTGCTGTACTGTAAGTTGATTATATTCGAGTGTACTGTCTAGAGATGCGAAGAGAGGTTTTGTGGGAGCTCAGGAGGAGTAGATAAATCTTTATAACAAGACTTGAGGATGGGGACCATTTAATTCAATTTCTCATTTCTACCCCAGTGCTTAGCCAACAACGTCTGGCACAAAGATGACATTCAGTAATTTGTTAAAATTAATTTTATGGTTTCCTGTTACTATTTCTTAACTTTACAATGACTGTGAATGTTGTAAAGTAACTATGGGAGCCTTAAAAATAAACCTTTGTTAATGAAATGCAACACAACAGTGTGGACTCTTAATAGGTGCTCAGTAAATGTTATTAACTAGAGACAATTATTGGTCTTGCACAACTTGAATTAAATTCTCCTAATATGCACAGGTTGTGTGTTCATTCCTTAGTTAAATACGGTGAGTGACTTCTGTAAGTTCTTTGTAGTAGTAATAAACAGGTGTTTTTTTTTTTTAAATCTGCCTGGTGAAAACTTGGAAGAGCAAGTTAGAAAAGATTATTATTAAAGCCTAAGTGACCTGAAATTGCAGGAAAAGAAATCTTGACTAATACCATATATAAATAATATAAAGTACTTAATATAATTTGCTTTGCTGGTGGGAATGTTAGTGGTCCTGGAAATTGATTAAGCTGCTTTTTATGAAAGTTTTAAAATACGTTCTGATGCCTTTAAGGACACAAGTATTTATGTAAGAGAATACTTATGAAAGATAATTATTTGGGAATTATATGTTTTGGTAAATATGTGTTTTAAATATATTAAAAATAAAGAAACTTCACAAAAACCCTAAAGTTATTTAAACTTTGCTCTTTTTAAGTGTTACATTTTAAATGGCTTTCTCCCCAGGGCTATCATTAAGAAGGCCTCGGATCTAGAATACAGAATACAGCGAAGAGCTCTTTGTAAGGAAGACTTTATCAATTATGTTCAAGTAAGTGAGTAATTGCATTACCTCTTGTTTCTTTTTTTCTTTTTTTAGCTGAGCTATCCTGCTACCTATTGGCAGCTCAGCGGCTGCTCAGCTCGGGCTGGACTCCGAACTGCTGTTGCTCAGAGCTCAAGCTCTTGAGCGAGCTCTTAACCAACTGAGCCACTCGGCCGGCCCTGCATTACCTCTTAACCCCCTCACAAATTTTAAATCAATTATAGAATGGTGAGTTTGATGTCAATATTCTACAATACTCTAGAACTGATGACTAGATAGGTAATTTTTTTGTGTGTATCTTTTTTTAATTTGGCATTTGTTATTTGCATTTATATTAAAGCAAAGTGCATCTTTTCTTTATTTTTCTTATACACATTGCACAATGCATAAATAATGATGCTTATAAAACATCTTCATATTTATAAGTGATAATTATATATAACAAAATTTTTTTCTTTAATAAATCTCAGAGTTTTTTTTTTTTTCCAGGAGTCCTTTCTCAAAGCACTACAATGCTAAATTTCCAATGAGAATGCTTCTCTTGTTCATTTAAACCTTTGTAGTTAGGAAAAATAGCTTATGTTAAAGTCTAAACATGCTCGTTGAGCTAAGAGCAGTGTCAACATTATCATACGAGTGTATGAGTTGTAGAAGAAACAAAAGAAGAGTTAGGTGTCAGCCTAGGATGGTACTTTGGGTTATGATGGACTGAATCCTTCTTGGTGGGAAATGGGGGCTGCTCCCCTCGCTGGTTTAACAGCAGAACTCAACACACAGGCTGCAGGAGGGGAGGGAAGTGCTGAGCTGGTTTTCTGAGTCTGGGAAAAACCTGATGTAAGCAGGACATGGGAGAGGCTGAGGGGCCTGAGAGGACACTGGGTGAGCAATACTATGATGGGGCTGCCCCGGCATCCCACTGGAAACCCATCTTGGAGACATCCAGGAGCAGAAGGCCAAAAAAAGGAAAGACATGACAATGGAGGGGAGTAAGACAAGCTTGAAAACAACTGGTTCTGGTTCAGCCTCTTGCAGGGGTGTTTCTAAGAAGCCTGAGGTCAGGCCTGGTACTAGAAAGGGGAGAGGAGGAGCGGACTTCCCCAAACTGGGGGCAGAGCCTTGCTTCTAGCAGCAGCCGGGACACCTGTGGCCTGCTTGCCTAGGTACTGCCTCTGCCTCTCTCAGTATGTCCAAAGTGCAAGACAGACACAGCTGGGGAGCGAAACCTGTCAGCCGGAGGCATCCGTAAGAAACACACAGCATGCTGTCTTTTTTGTGTTTTTTTAAGATTTTACTGGAGAATTGGGGGAGGGGAACAGACAAGTTGCTGTCCTTTTGTTCTTCAGTCTAGTTGTGGAGGACGTCGCTTAACTGGCCCATGTTGGTATTATCATTTGCGCCCTTCCCTGGTGAGGCAGTCGCTCGCCAGCCATTAGACGGTCGCTCACAGCAGCTGGCGAAAGCTTGTGCCTGCTGCCGGCCAGCCCCCTGCAGCCGGCCAGCCCCCTGCAGCCTACCCTGTTACCTGCGACTCACAGCAGCCCAAATCCAGGTCGAGCTGTTGTTCACCATCTTAGTTGTAGAGGGCACAGCGTCAGTGGCTGTCATGTGGGATCTGAACCCGGACCCTGCTGCTCAGAGCTGGCGTCCCAAGCCAACTCCCAACCAACGTGCCACTCGGCCAGCCCTTGGTGGTACTGATCTTTGCTTCCCCTTTTCATCATATGAGGGTGTCTTGCCAACTGTACAACCCCCTCAAACTCCAACAATTCTTTTCATAAGCTATTTCTCAAAGAACTCAACAAAACGGAACATAAACAAGAAGGACAATACGGAGGGGAAAAAGAGAATAATGATATAAGCGTTTGCATGAAAAACAAGCACTCAGGAGGGAAATATTAGCAGTAAAATAGTTTGGACGGCTCGCTCGGCTCACGCTCTGTCTTCTCCCCATGCGGCTACCGGCTGTTGAAGATAACCTCCAGCCAGCACGGGCAGCTGCTGATGAACTGGTGGGTGTAGCACTGGCCCGAGTCCTTCACGAAGCTTATCTGCACGTGAAGCCAGTCCACGGCTGCTGCATGAACTCGTGGTCGTTGGGCCGCTGCAGGCTGTACGCTTGACGCTTTCTCGTAGTCAAAAGCCTTGATGGCGAAACCGGGGAACACTTTGTGTACTAACAGCGTCCTGGAGTCCATGCAGGTTGTCCAGTGTGGCTGACTTGATGAAGATGGAATAACTGCTGTGGTTGTGCACCCACACGCCATCCACTTCTCGTGTCAGCTGGGTGCCACAGCTGATTTTGCTCCGCACTTTCTGCACCAGCTGACTTTTGTTCGAATTGAGCTGTCCGAGGCAAAAGCCGTTCCCCTGAGGTGGATCATAAAAGATATCCAGAGAGGGCTCCTGGACACGGCAGATCCTCCCCCTCACGTCTTTTCCTCCCAGTATGCCACCATGCACCAGTGTGACCGACCCCCAGGCTCCAGAAGAAGTTGGGAATCTGAAAGCCCTCCAGGGGCCAGATAATTCGTTTCCCCTGTTTCAGCGGAGGAAGGCACAGCATCGGAACAGCCTGCAAGTTGGTTTGAGAAAATCCATCGGGTATCCTGGAGTAAGGAGGAGGGGGAGACTCTAGTTCGCAGAGTCGGCTAAGGTGATGGGGGTTGCATCACATCAGCTCGGGGTTGATCTTCCTGTAAGAGTCACAGCAACACAGCCTCTTGACTTCTGAGGAATGCCTGAGATCGGGCCACCTGAACACTTTGCACAGCAGGAGGGGGGAGCGAGTAGGACGCGGGCGGCTGGACAGGCTGCGAGCCAGCAGGTGCCCCCAGGCGCAGTCTGCAGTCCAGGAGGCCGGGCAGCAAGAGGCACGCGGTGCGCCTCGTACCGCCACGGGACTCCACGGCCTGGAGCAGCAGCTCCAGCTGCTGTTCCTTCAGTTTCTTGAGCACCGAGTGCGTGAGCGACTTCAGATCTAGACAGGTAATTTTTGAACAAGTACAGAGAAGATTTGGGGATAGCATTGCTCCACTAAGTCTTTAGTCTTTGGCAAACTGAACTTTTCTTTTATGGGGTTAGTGGATCAGAGACTGCCAAAGACACAGTGTGTCAGGATTTCAACAAGAGATTTGACAGACTATCTCTTGTGGTGGTGGGGGTGAGGGGCGGGGGAAGGGGATAAAGGAGAGTGAGTTTGATGATAGTAGCTGGTTGGAAAGTTAATACTTAAACGTGTCTGTAAGTCTGTCAACTTCGAAAGAGGTGTGCTGCAAGATTCTTTAGTCCTGTGTTGAATGGAAGATTTCAGTGAAGATAAAATATACATGCTAGACCTATTTTCAGGTGGGGGAGAACAGCTAATAAGTTGGATGTCAAGATGAGGATTCAGAAAGGACCCAGTAACAAGATGAAATGTTCTTAATAAGACTAAAGGTTCTGAGCTTAGATTAAAAAAAGCAACCAAACAAACAAAACCCAACAAACAATATATGAGACCTGGCTAACACTCTTGTATTTGGAAGAGGTCCTAGGCCTCATAGTATTGGGTTGTCGGAAAAGTCATGACGCATCTTTGCAATGAAAAAGATAGAAAAAATACATCACGACTTTTCCGACAGTCCAATAGATTGCTAACTCAAAATGAGCTGAGAGCATAGGATGTCAAAAATATAATCTAATTGACTACAT